GGCTGCAATGGGGAATGTGGAGGGAACTTGGTGATGGGGGGAGTCTAGTAAACATAATGTTCCTCATGTAATTGTAAAGATACCAAAAAAATAAAAGACAGAGAAAATAACAAGAGACAAAGAAGGACATTACATATGATAAAGGGGTCAGTCCAACAAGAGGATAAAACCATTATAAATATCTATGCACCCAATACAGGAACACCTACATATGTGAAACAAATACTAATAGAATTAAAGAGGGAAACAGAATGCAATGCATTCATTTTAGACTTCAATATACCACTCAGTCCAAAGGACAGATCAACCAGACAGAAAATAAGTAAAGAGACAAAGGCACTGAACAATGCATTATAACAGATGGATGTAATAGATGTCTACAGAGTGCTCCACTCAAAAGCAGCAGGATGCACATTCTTCTCAAGAGCACATGGAACATTTTCCAGAAGAGATCACATATTAGGCCACAAAAAGAGCCTCAACAATTTAAAAAAGATTGAAATTGTGGCAACCAGTTTCTCAGACCACAAAGGTATGACACTAGAAATAAATTATGCAAAGAAAACAAAAAAAACCCACGAACACATGGAGGCTTAACAACATGCTCCTAAGTAATGAATGGATTAATGACCAAGTTAAAACAGATATCAAATAATATATGGAGACATATGAAAACAACAACTCAACGCCCCCAAATCTGTGGGACACAGCGAAGGCAGTTCTAAGAGGAAAATACATTGGAATACAGGGTTACTGCAAGAAAGAAGAACAATCCCAAATGAACAGTCTAAACTCACAATTAATGAAACTAGAAAAAGAAGAAAAGAAATGAGGCCCAGAGTCAGTATTAAGAAGGACATAATAAAGATTAGAGCAGAAATAAATAAAATTGAGAAGATTAAAACAATAAAAAGAATAAATGAAACCAGAAGCTGTTTCTATGTGAAGATAAACAAAATAGATAACCCTCTAGCCAGACTTATCAAGAAAAAAGGAGAGTATACACACATAAACAGACTTGAAAATGAAAAAGGAAAAATCATCATGGACACCACGAACTACAAAGAATTATTAGAGAATACTATGAAAAATTATATGTCAACAAATTGGATAACCTAGAAGAAACAGACAACTTTCTAGAAAAATAAAACCTTCCAAGACTGACCCAGGGAGAAACAGAAAATCTGAACAGAACAATCAGCAGCAATGAAATCGAATTGCAATTAAAAAAACTACCTAAGAACAAAATCCCTGGACCATATGGCTTCACCACTGAATTTTATCAAATATTTAAAAAAGAGCTAATACCCATTCTTCTTAAAGTTTTTCAAAAAATTGAAGAGGAGGGCAAACTTCCAAACTTATTCAGTGAGGCCAGCATCACTCTCATATCAAAACCCTGACAAAGATACCACAAAAAAATAAAATTACAAACCAATATCTCTGATGAACATAGATGTAGAAATCCTCAACAAAATATTAGCAAACCAAATTCAAAAATACATCAGAAAGATCATCCATTATGACCAAGTGGGATTTACTCTAGGGGTGCAAGGATGGTATAGTATTTGTAAATCCATCAATAGCATACACCACATTAACAAAAAAAAGGATAAAAAATATGATCATCTCAATAGATGTTGGAAAAGCACTTGACAAAACTCAACATCCATTCATGATAAAAACTCTCAACAAAGTGGATATAGAGGGTATGTACCTCAACATAATAAAGGCCATATAAGACTAACCCACAGCCAACATCATACTTAGCAGCAAAAAGCTGAAAGCTTTTCCTCTAAAATTGGGAACAAGACAAGGATGCCCGCTTTCCCCATTTTTATTCAACATAGTACTAGAGGTCCCAGTCATGGCAATCAGATAACACAAAGAAATAAAAGGCATCCAGATTGGAAAGGAAGAAGTTAATCTGTTTGCAGATGACATGATATTGTACATTGAAAACTCTAAAGAATCCACCAAAAAACTAGAACTAACAACTGAATTCAGCAAAGTTGCAGGATACAAAATTAATACACAGAAATCTGTTGCATTCCTATATACTAGCAACAAACTAGCAGAAAAAGAAATCAGGAAAACAACTCCATTTACAATTGCACCAAAAAGAATAAAATACCTAGGAATAAATCTAACCAAAGAGGTGAAAGACCTATACTCAGAAAACTATAAGACACCCATGAGAGAAATTAAAGAAGATACCAGTAAATGGAAATACATCCCATGCTCATGGACGGGAAGAATTAATATTGTCAAAATGGCCATCCTGCCTAAAACAGTCTACAAAATCAATGCAATCCCTATCAAAATACCTACAGCATTCTTCAACAAACTAAAACAAATAGTTCTAAAATTCATGTGGAAGCACAAAAGACCCCAAATAGCCAAGCAATCCTGAGAAAGAAGAACAAAGTTGGGAGGATTATGCTCCCTAACTTCAAGCTCTACTACAAAGCCACAGTAATCAAAACAATTTGGTATTGGCACAAGAACAGAGCCATAGATCAAAAGAACGGAATAGAGAGCCCAGATATAAACCCAAGCATATATGGTCAATTAATATAAGGGATCCATGGATATACAGTGGGGAAAAGACAGCCTCTTCAACAACTGATGTTGGCAAAAATGGACAGCTACATGTAAGAGAATGAAACTGGATTATTGTCTAACTCCATACACAAAAGTAAACTTGAAATGGATAAAAGACCTGAAGGTAAGTTATGAAACCATAAAACTCAAAGAAGAAAACAGAGGCAAAAATCTCTTGAATATAAACACGAGCAAATTTTTCCTGAACACATCTCTTCAGGCAAGGGAAACAAAATAAAAAATGAACAAATGGGACCACATCAAACTAAAAAGCTTCTGTACAGCAAAGGACACCATCAGAACAAAAAGGCAATGTACAGTATGGGAGAATATATTCATAAACAATTTATCCAATAAGGGGTTAACATCCAAAATAGATAAAGAACTCACATGACTCAACAACAACAACAACAACAAAAACCAAATAACCCAATTAAAAAAATAGGTGGAGGATCTCAACAGACATTTCTCCAAAGAAGTAATTCAGATGACCAATGGGCACATGAAAAGATGCTCCACATCACTAATCATCAGGAAAATGTATATCAAAACCACAATGAAATACCACCTCACTTTAGTCAGAATGGCCACTGTCCAAAAGACAAGAAATAACAAATGTTGGCAAGGATATAGAGAAATAGGAATCCTCCTACACTGTTGGTAGGAATGTAAATTGGTGCAGCCACTGTGGAAAGCATTATGGAGGTTCCTCAAAAACTAAAAACAGAAATACCATTTGACCCACTAACTCCACTTCTAGGAATTTACCTGAGGAAAACAAATTCCTGATTTGAGAAGATACATGAATCCCTATATTTATTGCTGCATTATTTACAATAGTCAAGTTATGGAAGGAATGTAAGTGTCCATCAACAGATGAACAGATAAAGAAGATGTGGTACATACGCACAATGGAATATTATTCAGGTATAACAAAAGAAATTCTGCCATTTGTGACAACATGGATGATCTAGAGGACATTATGCTCAGTGAAATAAGCCAGGTGGAGAAAGACAAACACCATATGAAAGACAAACACTTATTTGTGAAATCTAAAAACAAAACAAAACAGAATGAACAAAACAGCAATAGACTTACAGACACTGAGAAGTGACTGGTGGTTACCATGGGGAATGGATCAGGATGGGAAGGTAGGGAGCATGAAGGGGATAAAGGGGCACAAAAATTCTCAATCATAATATAAGTTGGTCACAGGGATGGTAGTACAGCATGGAGAATACAGTCAATGATTCTGTAACATCTTCCTATTTTGACAGATAATAACTGCACTAGTTGGGGTGAGGATTTAATAATATGGGTAACTGCTGAACCAATGTGTTGTATACTTGAAACCAATATAAGATTGTATATCAATGATACTTCAATAAAAAAATAATTAAATGACTTAAAAATAAAAATAAAAAATAAAAAGTTTATTGAAACCCTGGGGAATCCACCATCTGCTAGCCACCCAAGATGTGAACATAGAAAGGTAATTACACCAAAGACAGGGGTTTGCTCACAGCCTGTTGTACTTTCCCTTCATACCAGAGATTTTCAAATATAATTTTAGAAGCAGAATCCCCACTTTTAATGAGAGATTTCATAAGGAATCCCCAAATATTTCAAACAACAGTTTTACTCTACTCTATCTTAAGGGTGAAGGTCCTGGAGCTCTGTCCACTGGGGCTATCCTGCCCTGTTCCCCCAGTCTGTCCCTGGGGCTTTCCACATTCCTCCCCAAGGAAGCCAAAGGCTCCTCAAAGCACAGTTGGTAAATCCCCGCATCATGACCTGGTGTGCTAGTGTTCCCCATTCACTAGCCTTCTTGGATTCTAACATCCATCCCAAGTCCAGTTAGATCTTGCCTCCACAGTCAGTTCTGGGCCAAACCGTGGTGATCTGAAATTATTCCTTGGAAATGGCAAGGCATGCCCACCCCCAGCACCTCACGTGATCCACAGAACAGTACTCCATTTTGCAGGTGAGACTACTGAGATCCAGATGAGCTACGTGCCTGCTGAAGGTCCCACAGTCAGTAAGGAGCGTAGACTTCAGCCTGTCCTACCTGACTCCAAACCCATGCCCTGCCTCAGTACCTGCTGCATCCATGCTCCCCCAGCTTTCACTCTATGTCTTCTGCCTTCGTAGGTAACATATTCCCATGGTGGCAGGTCTGAATCTCTTGAGCACTTATACAAACTAAAATGCCCAGGGCCCCATTCCAGATGTAGAGAATCAGAAGCTGGGGTTACAGCCATTATATCACACCATGAGGACCTCTGTCACTTGGGCACAAAATGCTAACTAGATTTCTGGTTAGCCGCCCTCCAGCTCTGTGTGTTGAAGGAAGGGGACCCGATCCCAAATAGCAGCAGAGTCTGAGCAGGACTTACTGTGTAAAGCTCATTGGTGACCTTCAGGAGCTCCTCATGCATCTGCAGGCCAATCTCCTTGCTCTGGAATAAGGAAGAACAAATATTAGAGAGAAAAAGTCATTGGTAGCATTGACCAATTTCCTTTTCAACACAGAAAGAGCAGGAATACTTGGGGTGGGGTGGGAAGGGTACAGAAATCAACATAAACCCCATTGATCTAGACTTGAATTCCTCAACTTGTAACAAATCCATAGAGATAGGCTCCTTGCAAATGGAATTCCCTGGCCATATAAGTTGGGGAACCCTACATATCACCGCCCAGTGTTGGTGATTCACAGAGATATCACCACATAAAAGATTCTGAGAAGCCCCACAGCCAATCGGCACATTCATCTTTCTTTAATTCTGTGGGTCTTAGGCTGATGTGAGCAGAGTATGTGTTCCTAGCTCAATACTCATTAACGCCTCATGAGAGTGGGGTTCCATAGAACACAGTTTGAGAAATAATGATCTAGCATCTCAATCCATCACAAGCAGTACAGGTTAACGGACAGCCCACTGAAGCACAGGGCAAGGCAGGAGGTGGGGGTTCTCGCCCCCACTGACCTCCCCAAGGAAGCCAAAGGCTCCTCAAAGCACAGTTGGTAAATCCCCGCATCATGACCTGGTGTGCTAGTGTTCCCCATTCACTAGCCTTCTTGGATTCTAACATCCATCCCAAGTCCAGTTAGATCTTGCCTCCACAGTCAGTTCTGGGCCAAACCGTGGTGATCTGAAATTATTCCTTGGAAATGGCAAGGCATGCCCACCCCCAGCACCTCACGTGATCCTCAGAACAGTACTCCATTTTGCAGGTGAGACTACTGAGATCCAGATGAGCTACGTGCCTGCTGAAGGTCCCACAGTCAGTAAGGAGCGTAGACTTCAGCCTGTCCTACCTGACTCCAAACCCATGCCCTGCCTCAGTACCTGCTGCATCCATGCTCCCCCAGCTTTCACTCTATGTCTTCTGCCTTCGTAGGTAACATATTCCCATGGTGGCAGGTCTGAATCTCTTGAGCACTTATACAAACTAAAATGCCCAGGGCCCCATTCCAGATGTAGAGAATCAGAAGCTGGGGTTACAGCCATTATATCACACCATGAGGACCTCTGTCACTTGGGCACAAAATGCTAACTAGATTTCTGGTTAGCCGCCCTCCAGCTCTGTGTGTTGAAGGAAGGGGACCCGATCCCAAATAGCAGCAGAGTCTGAGCAGGACTTACTGTGTAAAGCTCATTGGTGACCTTCAGGAGCTCCTCATGCATCTGCAGGCCAATCTCCTTGCTCTGGAATAAGGAAGAACAAATATTAGAGAGAAAAAGTCATTGGTAGCATTGACCAATTTCCTTTTCAACACAGAAAGAGCAGGAATACTTGGGGTGGGGTGGGAAGGGTACAGAAATCAACATAAACCCCATTGATCTAGACTTGAATTCCTCAACTTGTAACAAATCCATAGAGATAGGCTCCTTGCAAATGGAATTCCCTGGCCATATAAGTTGGGGAACCCTACATATCACCGCCCAGTGTTGGTGATTCACAGAGATATCACCACATAAAAGATTCTGAGAAGCCCCACAGCCAATCGGCACATTCATCTTTCTTTAATTCTGTGGGTCTTAGGCTGATGTGAGCAGAGTATGTGTTCCTAGCTCAATACTCATTAACGCCTCATGAGAGTGGGGTTCCATAGAACACAGTTTGAGAAATAATGATCTAGCATCTCAATCCATCACAAGCAGTACAGGTTAACGGACAGCCCACTGAAGCACAGGGCAAGGCAGGAGGTGGGGGTTCTCGCCCCCACTGCATCACCGGCTTGCCACGTGGTCTTGCAGCCATAGTCATCGCATCTATAAAATAAAAAGCTTAACGTAAAGCATCCCTTCCTAAAGTATGGTCTGGGGGTCCCTGCTGGCAGAATTAAAAAAGGGGCAGAGGCTTCTGTGACCAGATATGTTTGGGAAAAGCTGGCAGAACAAAGTGAGACAGGTTTTCTTACTGCAGAACTTTCCAGAGGTTTTTGTACCCTCATGTGCACAGACTTCCTAAGGGGGCTGCAGTGTGTATTTTAGTTGGCCTCATTCTTTTCCCACAGAGTGACTTACACATTCAGTATATTGGTGAACATGAGTCAGAAAACAGTGAACAAATCATCTCTAGGTTTTACCCAGCCTGAAGAGTCTAGGATTCTCTATTACTGTATGTATTATGATGACGATGATGGTGATGATGGTAAATACTCTTCAGTTTGCCCAGACCATACTGAAAATATTCCACACTGAAAACAGGTACCCTGATGCCACCCCTGAGAGCTGAGCCGTCCGGCTCTCCCTTGAGCTCCCTCAGCCTCAAGCATGACCAGCAGCTGATGGGCAAGGACCAGTCTTCTCTTGTTCCTGCACAGTCAGCAGCCCCCAGGCTCAGCAGTAGCTGAGGAAGCTCAGTACCAGACATGAGGCCTTCCTAGGCTCCTTCTCCCTGCCCCACAGCCTTTCTCTCACTCCGAGGCCTGAAATTGCCAAGAATCACCCAACTGAAAGTAGTCCTTGCCTGCACCAGATCTCTTAACAGAGCCACATCTCTGGAGTTATTCCAGAGATGGACTTTGACCTCCCTCCAATCTGGTGGCTCAAGAAAGGGGACCCAATCCAGAACCACAGCAGAGCCTGAGTACAACCTTCTGGGCAGAGCTCATGGAGAAGCCTTCAGTCACATCCTGTGCATCCACAGTGGGACTTAATGAAGCCAACCACTCTGCCCATCTTCTATCGTCCCTACTTCTTGCAAGAAAGCAGTCAGTCTGTGCCTTGGTTTCCCCTGTGGCCCCTCCCGGTGAAGTTTGTCCCACTGCTGACTCCAGACTCCCTAACACCTCCCAGGGGCCTCCCTCTTGGTCCTCAGTCTTGCCAATATCTGACAGTCAAGACTTAATTTCTTATGTATTCATATTTATGATCTAACTTTTTTGATAGGTAATAAATATATATGTTAAACAAGTAAAAACTAAAATGTAAGCCTCCAGACTCCTAGAACCCCGCCAAGAGGCAAGTGCTATTAGAAGTTTCTTCTGATACCTTCCAGAAACAGCCTATGAATATACAAGCATACATCTGGATAGGGTATTTCTTTATTAACAAAAATAAGAGTATTCTATACACACTTTTGCAACGTGCTTTTTTTCACCTATCTGAGAGATTTTTTTCCTATGTAGCTCCTCCATCCTTTTTTTTTTAAGTTGTTTGGGGTTTCATATGCTAGACATATCATAATTAACCAGCTCCATAGTAATGGACATTTAGGTTGTCTCTGATCTCTTAACATTTGAAGCAATGGTGTGGTGAACATACTAACACCCATCATTGTGCACATAAGCAGGGATCCCAGTCAGATAAAATTTCAGAAGCAGCTCTGCTGGGAATAGTCCTGCCTCCAAAATTCCCACCAGCTTTGCCTTCTCAGGCTCTGTCCCAGTTAGTGCCACAAGCACTCCTGACCTCAACTTGTACTTCTCAGTGACCCACAGCCATGTCACCAACTCCATGGTCCCCTCTCTTGGGCCTTGTCCTATATGACCTTGAGCCCAAGTTCAAAGACCTGTGTCTTCGGCAGTCACAAAACAGTATAGTCTGGATGTCTCCTCATCGCATCAACTCAAATTGTTCAAGAGCAAACTCCTGAACTTTACCCCATCCCCTTGAATTTGGTCAACTGGACAATATCTTCCCAGGCATGGCAACTGGATATCTTGGAGTTATTTTTGACACTATGTAAAAATTCCTCTTCCACAATCCAATCTGTCACTGTGTCCTGTCTTCATACTGCACAATCCTTTGCTCTCTGTAGCAGGCAATGAGCTGAAGACTTCCAGGGAAGCTGAACCCACCCCAACTCAAGATGGTGGATTCTGGTATATGCTGTTAGTCCAGGGGATGTGACCTAACTGGACAGAAGAGAAGAATGCTCCTTAATCATTTTGCTAGGTGCTAAATTCAGACATCTCAGATTATTAAGCTTTTCTAAATGCCTTAAGCTTTTTGAACACCAGCAAAAAAGCATGGAGTCCCAGTTGCTACCAGCAGGCCTCATAGGATCAGAAGAGGAAGCAGCCGTAAGTGGCAGAACAAAAGAAACCTGGTTCCTTCTTCATCTCCTGGGAAACTGGTAGAACTGAACCTAAAACCTACCTACATGTGAACTTCCAGTTCTGTGGCTTTGCTGGTTAAGCCACTTTAAGCTGGGGTTTTCTGTTACTTGCAGCCAACAGCATCCTAAGGGATCCATTTCCCACCACCAGTCCCAGAGCAAGCACATCCGCAATGCAGGACCCAGATTGCTGCCACTGCCCCTTAACAAAGTCCCCAACTTTTGTGCTGACCCTGCATAACCGTGCAGTGTACTTTCCTAAAAAACTGTTCACTGTGTTCCTCCAAATCCTCCTCAGTCCCTACAGGATAAACCTTCTGGGCAGAGCTCATGGAGAAGCCTTCAGTCACATCCTGTGCATCCACAGTGGGACTTGATGAAGCCAACCACTCTGCCCATCTTCTATCGTCCCTACTTCTTGCAAGAAAGCAGTCAGTCTGTGCCTTGGTTTCCCCTGTGGCCCCTCCCGGTGAAGTTTGTCCCACTGCTGACTCCAGACTCCCTAACACCTCCAGGGGCCTCCCTCTTGGTCCTCAGTCTTGCCAATATCTGACAGTCAAGACTTAATTTCTTATGTATTCATATTTATGATCTAACTTTTTTGATAGGTAATAAATATATATGTTAAACAAGTAAAAACTAAAATGTAAGCCTCCAGACTCCTAGAACCCCGCCAAGAGGCAAGTGCTATTAGAAGTTTCTTCTGATACCTTCCAGAAACAGCCTATGAATATACAAGCATACATCTGGATAGGGTATTTCTTTATTAACAAAAATAAGAGTATTCTATACACACTTTTGCAACGTGCTTTTTTTCACCTATCTGAGAGATTTTTTTCCTATGTAGCTCCTCCATCCTTTTTTTTTTAAGTTGTTTGGGGTTTCATATGCTAGACATATCATAATTAACCAGCTCCATAGTAATGGACATTTAGGTTGTCTCTGATCTCTTAACATTTGAAGCAATGGTGTGGTGAACATACTAACACCCATCATTGTGCACATAAGCAGGGATCCCAGTCAGATAAAATTTCAGAAGCAGCTCTGCTGGGAATAGTCCTGCCTCCAAAATTCCCACCAGCTTTGCCTTCTCAGGCTCTGTCCCAGTTAGTGCCACAAGCACTCCTGACCTCAACTTGTACTTCTCAGTGACCCACAGCCATGTCACCAACTCCATGGTCCCCTCTCTTGGGCCTTGTCCTATATGACCTTGAGCCCAAGTTCAAAGACCTGTGTCTTCGGCAGTCACAAAACAGTATAGTCTGGATGTCTCCTCATCGCATCAACTCAAATTGTTCAAGAGCAAACTCCTGAACTTTACCCCATCCCCTTGAATTTGGTCAACTGGATAATATCTTCCCAGGCATGGCAACTGGATATCTTGGAGTTATTTTTGACACTATGTAAAAATTCCTCTTCCACAATCCAATCTGTCACTGTGTCCTGTCTTCATACTGCACAATCCTTTGCTCTCTGTAGCAGGCAATGAGCTGAAGACTTCCAGGGAAGCTGAACCCACCCCAACTCAAGATGGTGGATTCTGGTATATGCTGTTAGTCCAGGGGATGTGACCTAACTGGACAGAAGAGAAGAATGCTCCTTAATCATTTTGCTAGGTGCTAAATTCAGACATCTCAGATTATTAAGCTTTTCTAAATGCCTTAAGCTTTTTGAACACCAGCAAAAAAGCATGGAGTCCCAGTTGCTACCAGCAGGCCTCATAGGATCAGAAGAGGAAGCAGCCGTAAGTGGCAGAACAAAAGAAACCTGGTTCCTTCTTCATCTCCTGGGAAACTGGTAGAACTGAACCTAAAACCTACCTACATGTGAACTTCCAGTTCTGTGGCTTTGCTGGTTAAGCCACTTTAAGCTGGGGTTTTCTGTTACTTGCAGCCAACAGCATCCTAAGGGATCCATTTCCCACCACCAGTCCCAGAGCAAGCACATCCGCAATGCAGGACCCAGATTGCTGCCACTGCCCCTTAACAAAGTCCCCAACTTTTGTGCTGACCCTGCATAACCGTGCAGTGTACTTTCCTAAAAAACTGTTCACTGTGTTCCTCCAAATCCTCCTCAGTCCCTACAGGATCAAGGCCCAGTTCTTTAGTTTGACTTTCGAGGCTCTATGCAACTAACCCAG